AAGTACTTCTAACATATTTTCATCTGGCCAAAGCTGTTGAAGCTATATGTATTTTGTGTATTTTATATTTTGGCTAGCTATGCATGTATTTTCTTTGCATGATTATTTTTTTCCCAAAGGTGTAACAATCATGCAATTTGCAATTGGTTCGATCCCCCACAACTCGACTACTTACATGATGAATCTTGTAGAATCGAGAATGAGTAGGTAAATTTACCAATCTTTCGCCTTAATTTTCTCTGAGTTCTAAATTGGATTAAAATTATTGTTGAAAATTTGATGTTATTGAGATATCTAAGTGTTTATTTTAATTGACTTCGTTTTAGAATTAAAACATAAATTTTGAGTTTGGATTCCCTTATTAGGTTTCATTTTAATTTATGACCTAATCTTTAACACATATGCGAGTCTTCTCTCATACGCTAAAATAAAATAAAATTCGTAGTCATTACATAAGTTTTTGATTGATTCAACTAGCCTATATTTTGTTATATGAAAACCACTTTCTCTAGTGTTTAAACTTGCAATTTTGAGTGTTTGCCCAAGTGGGAGAAATAATGTATTATGGGCTTCACACTCATCAATTTTGCATGCTTTTAATGGTCATGGTTTTGGTAGATAAAACGTACATTATCATACTTGTTTATATTTTATTTGTTATATATGCAACTAATCTTGTGACATCCCACATCGCCCAGGGGAGTGATCCTTATATGTATATTCCCATCCCTACCTAGCCTTTTGGGAGCTCACTGGCTTCAGGTTCCGTAGGAACTCCGAAGTTAAGCGAGAAGGGGGCTAGAGCAATCCCATGATGGGTGACTCACTGGGAAGTTGCTCGTGAGTTCCCAAAAACAAAATCGTGAGGGAATGGTAAGCCCAAAGCGGACAATATCGTGCTACGATGGTGGAGCGGGCCCGGGAAGTGGTTCCGCCCCGGGCGGGGATGTGACAGTTTGGTATCAGAGCCTAACCCTGGTTGCGAGTGTGCCGACGAGGACGTCGGGCCCCTAAGGGGGGTGGATTGTGACATCCCACATCGCCCAGGGGAGTGATCCTTATATGTATATTCCTATCCCTACCTAGCACGAGGCCTTTTGGAAGCTCACTGGCTTCGGGTTTTGTTGGAACTCTGAAGTTAAGCGAGAAGGGGGCTAGAGCAATCCTATGATGGGTGACCCACTGGGAAGTTGCTCGTGAGTTCCCAAAAACAAAACCGTGCGGGAATGGTAAGCCCAAAGCGGATAATATCATGCTACGGTGGTGGAGCGGGCCCGGGAAGTGATCCGCCTCGGGCTGGGATGTGACAAATCTTGCAGGAAATTCAAGAAGGGTTAATGAGTATATTCTGCTTAAAAGTGTTTTGCTTATTAATTCTTGTTTGTTGTTCAAGAAATTGCACTTGTGATTTATATGTTATTGATGTATAATTAATCTGCTCAAAAGTGTTTTCTTATTCAGTCCAACTATAAATCAGTGAACGGTTAAACATGGAATTGACAAGATTGTGTATACTTTATTTGCTCAAAAGTGTTGAAACTATATACGTTTTCCCTTGTATTTTATGTTTTAGCTGTGAAAACCTAGTATAATCAGCTTCTGTCCAAAGATGATTATGGAATTATATGTTTTTGTTGCAATCAGAAAACATTCCATTAAAGTTTTCTGTTTTTGTCAAATGTTAGATGAACAAAACTGACCAAATGATTTTGTATAGTTTTTCAGTCACAAGAGTCACTTCCCTACAGATATCTAGAATAATGATGTTGAACTCACAAATTTTATGTTCTAGATCCTATGACTAATGTTTTGCTAATGGGAGTATTTGAAAGGTATCTGTTTCGTTTTGTAGACATTTATAAAGTTTTTTTTTTTTACTCTTTTAATCAGTGGGAGTAATAATAATTTATATAATTTTGTCTCTTGTAATCAGTGGGAGTAAAAGATTACCTTTTGTATTGAAAATTTGAAGTCTTAGTTGCTGATATTTTAAGAGTAAATTTTGCTTAAGTTTTGTTCATAAGTTTTAATAAGAGGTCTTGATTTGTAAACAGTATGTCGTATTTTACTTGTTCTCTTATCATATTCTAAATTGACAGAAAAGTTGGATTTTGTTACCAACGTTATTGAGTTTTTTTGTGAACTATTTTTGTTTTGAGGAACTATCGTTTTGTTTTGTTAGTTCTCAACATCGTGATTCTGGTAGCAACATAGTGTTTCATGATAAATGAATATGTAATTATAGAGTATCAAGTACAAGTTATTCGTACTTGGGATTTCTATGGTTTTGCATTTTTCTTGGAATGACAGGTTACTAACTAGAGTGGCAGCAAGTTTTTGTAAACTCAATGATCATCATGATTTATGTTGTATTGAGGAATATCATTGACATTCAAGTGGGAGAATGTTAGACTACATGTGAATGACAATGAGATAACAGCTAGATTTCTTGAATTACACGTAAACTCATTATACGAGTTGTGTGGCTGAAGGAATTTGAGATCCTTGATATAATAGGAGTTGTGGAGTTTAATTATAGTGTAGCTAATTTAAAGGGAGTACTTATCAAGTATTTACTGAGAGATAAGAATCACGATGGGACTTGAATTTGTTATAGGCCGGTATTAGTGGAACTCTGATAGGATAATTTGGTATATATATACATATTGAAGAAGTCCCTGCTTCCACACAATAAGACTCTCGAGAACTAAACCTTATTTACTAGTGGAGGTCATCGCTGTGTGCTGGAAGTAGAAGACTGATTCACTTGTTCATTCAATGGCAGCAACATCAGGTAAGTCGCCCTTGCAGATTGCATATAGGGTTATGCAATCCCTCCCACCTGCCAGCTGCCCCACCTTTCATTTTCTTATCATAATATTTATTTTTTTAAGTTTCGAGTCAACACTCGTAATTTACTCTTAATTTAATAGACAACGATGTAAGTGAAAAACTTCAACGGTGTAACACATGGTAGACTTAGAGGACGAGAGCATGTTAGTGTAGGAAAATTCGGTTAGCATTCTATTGGGTTTGGTTATGTAAATTCCTGTGGGTCTAGATTTAAATGTACACCGAGTCATTTGACTTGTAAATGCAGTTATAATTCTACATGATATCATTCATAGGTTTTTCTTTCTTGACAAAAAGCCTAGTCTTATTCTCTGTTAGTTGTTCCCTCCTAAACTCTTATCAAACTTCTTTTTCCTTAAATTTCTTTTTGCCGTGCCTATTCTCATCCATGGCCTCTCAGGACTCCCGACAAATACTTGAGCCGTTTCTTTCGAGTCACAATTTATTTAATTATGTGGATAGCCCAATTCTACATAGTAACCATTACCTCAGTTTAGGGACAAAAATATTGCATTAAACTTTCTAAGAATGATCGGGTCTCGTACATTATGATAATGTGAGGATGAATCCACTGAAGCGTAGTGTGGCCCCGAAACTGGACGATAAAACATAATGGGCGACTTTTCCTGCCAAAGTTTATGGACTGATGGCAACAACTGTCTGGGGATAAAAGCGACGCCGAAAAAGCTGGTTTGCTCAAAATAAATGTGGTGGTTAGCTCGCCCATAAATAAGTAATCCCACGTCAGCTATCCCCTCAAAATTTCTAATTATAGGAAAAAAAAAAAAAGGCAAATAAATGTGGTGGTTAGCTCGCCCAACTAAATAAGTACTCCCACGTCAGCGATCCGCTCAAAATTTCTAATTATAGGAAAAAAAAAGCGAAGTTTTAACGAAAAACTTACAGTACTGTTCACTTTAACGAAAAATTATATTTTTACACTAACAAATCAATCATGACACAATTCACTTTACCCTTTATTTTGTCCTTATCATTAAAACTCAAAATTTCAAACTCTTTTCATTAGTTTTCCTAAAAAAAAATTGTTAGGAACATTATTACAATCTAGTAATACTAGCTTATGTACATAGATGGTGAGTTTGATGTCTGCATGTGATTGACTTAAGACCATTTTTAAAAGAGATGCCAAATCATAAATGTCACTAATAAAATTTGAAGGCAAATAGAAGCTCCAACCGATATCTCAATTCTATGTTGATTGGCATATTTATTGTGTGGTGCAAATTTTGACATATGAGAAAATGATATGTAAAATTATTTTTTAAATGTTTTGTTGTGTGGTTCGTAGTAATGCACCAATTATAAATCATGAAACTTAGCTTTTATTTATTTGTTTTGAAGAGTGGATCCTCAAATATTGATTGAATAAGAAAAAACATATGGGTTGGAGCAAAAGAAATTTTGACACTGCCGCATAAGCCTTCAAATTTACATTTGACATATATTTTTTGACATCTCCATTGAAAATGTTTTTAAGTGGCTTAACTAAATCTCCACCCTCTCTCTCCGAATACCGTCGCCTCACCAAATAGATAAATGAAAGTTTTATACGAATTTCCATACTCACGATAATATTAATATTGTACCCGAAATCTTTTTTATTACAATAGAAGCAGCCGAATCATTTTATGCCTAAGCCTAACCCCGTTTAAAATTTTCTCATCAACCCTCACTAGTTACTTGAGCTAAACTCAAGGGCTTATTGTATCATGATCTTTACTTATCTGTTTTTCCACCATGATATTGCACTTATGTAGTTGTAAAATTTTATCTAGGTTTTATTTGTATCCCGACAAAATTCGTGTAGCTCAAGTATTTATCAGCATAAGTTATATATGAAAGTTACATATAAAGCACAAAGAGTCGTACTTATTCATTCATCATTCCATTTCACACATGCATACAGTACACACACATTACTAGACAAAATATACAGCTTACTCAACTAATCTCAGTAACTCCCACACTCCTTCATTGAATGCCAAAATTTAAGATGAAGGAGCACTTTCCTCCAAATTAGGTGAGAAACCCATGGCTGCCATTTCCCTCTCAAGAGAAAGAGAGACCGACAGAAAGTTGATAATATAGGGTTCTGTTCATCTGCATTTCCATTGGAATACAAGGGATATTATATCAATACACACTTGTAACTTATAAAACTTGTACGTAGGGAGGGATGGCCAACGACCTCTGCTAGCATTAATTATATATTTTGTCCGAGTTTCTCGTTTATATACAAATATATGTACGTATATGTTCATGAATGATAAGAGAGAATTGAGAGAGTGAAGGAGAATTAATAGACTGAAACGAAAGAAGAAGAAAAACCAACAGCTTTTTCAGCCTCCCATTTATTTCCCCCTCTTTTTTCTCCTCCTCTCTCGTATTATAAGTCTCATTTCCCTTTTCCTTTCCTTTTATTCATTGCCTCCCTCTCCTTCTTCTTGTTCTTGTACGATCTTCTTCTTCATCATGCACATTGTTGCCAAACCCTCGTCGATCCAGATGTCACAGTCCAAACCCTAGCCAGCTACATATTGATTTCCCTTGATAATTCTGATCTGGGTTTTCCTTCGTGTTTCGGTTTCGATCCGGGTTTCATGTTCTTGCTTCTCCGTACATTTTTTCTTGATCAGTTTAATTACTTGGGTTAGGGTTAATTATTGTATTAGTGGGAAGTGAAGTGGTTTAGATTACATTTTTTCTTGATCAGTTTAATTACTTGGGTTAGGGTTAATTATTGTATTAGTGGGAAGTGAAGTGGTTTAGATATTTTCAAGCGAGGGCTTGTTAATCAGTGATTAGATGGAGGCATCAACGGCTCTAATGATCCTATCAGCCATAGTGGCGTATTTAGTTTGGTTCAAGATGATCTCACGGTCAATGTACGGTCCACGTGTCTGGCCGCTGTTGGGTAGCCTCCCAGGTCTCATACAGAACGTGAACCGGATGCACGACTGGATCACCGACAATCTCCGCGCGTGCGGCGGCACGTACCAGACCTGCACCTGCGCCATTCCCTTCCTGGCGCGCAAGCAAGGGCTCGTGACTGTCACCTGCGACCCCAAGAACTTGGAGCACATTTTGAAGACTCGGTTTGATAATTACCCCAAGGGTCCAACCTGGCAAGCTGCGTTCCATGATCTGCTTGGCGATGGGATCTTCAACAGTGATGGTGACACGTGGCTGTTCCAGCGTAAGACGGCGGCACTGGAATTCACCACCCGAACGCTCCGCCAAGCCATGGCTCGGTGGGTGAGCCGAGCCATCGAGCTTAGGTTTTGCCCAATTCTTGAGGCGGCTCAAAACGAAGCCAAGCCGGTGGATCTTCAAGACCTCTTGCTTCGGCTCACTTTCGATAACATATGCGGGTTGACATTCGGGAAGGATCCACAAACGCTAGCTCTGGGCCTTCCCGAAAACGACTTCGCGAATGCTTTCGATCGGGCCACTGAAGCCACGTTGCAACGCCTTATCTTGCCCGAAATCATGTGGAAAATCAAAAAATGGCTCGGGCTCGGAATGGAAGTCAGCTTGAACCATAGCCTCCATCACATTGATAAATACCTATCCGGTATCATCAACGCGCGTAAGCTCGAGTTGGCAAGCCAACAACAAGGTCGTAGCAATGGGACCCCACATGATGACTTGTTGTCTCGGTTCATGAAGAAAAAGTCCTACTCGGACAAATTCCTTCAAGAGGTAGCACTCAACTTCATCCTAGCTGGACGTGACACGTCATCGGTTGCGCTGAGTTGGTTCTTTTGGTTGGTGATTCAAAGCCCACAAGTGGAGGAGAGAATCCTCTCTGAAATTTGCACCGTTCTGATGGAGACACGTGGTAGTGATACTTGCAAATGGGTGAAAGAGCCCCTATTATTTGAAGAAGTTGATCGATTGACATACCTGAAGGCAGCATTGTCCGAGACCCTAAGGCTTTACCCTTCCGTGCCACAAGACTCCAAGCACACAATCAAAGACGACGTTTTGCCGAGTGGGACGTTTGTTCCGGCAGGCTCTTCAGTCACATATTCCATTTACGGGATCGGTCGCATGAAGTTCATTTGGGGTGAAGATTGCCAAGAATTTAAGCCGGAGAGGTGGTTGTCTTCGGATGGCAAAAAAATGGAGGTACAAGATTCTTACAAGTTTGTTTCTTTCAATGCCGGTCCAAGAATTTGTTTGGGCAAGGATTTAGCTTACTTGCAAATGAAGTCGATTGCGGCGGCCGTGTTGCTAAGGCACCGGCTTGCGGTGGTGCCGGGCCACCGGGTGGAGCAGAAGATGTCCTTGACGTTGTTCATGAAGTATGGCCTCAGGGTTAACGTACACCCTAGGGATTTGACGCCTATTTTGGCTAAAATAGGCAAGGGGGACCCATGGGGAAAAGATGTTGAGATTGTGGTTTGAGAGGGCTGGCATATAAATTTGGTGGACCTTAATTTAATTAAGGTCACTGTCACATATAGCTCTTATAGTTTATAATATTAATTATATCTTATGGTATTAGTGCATATAGGAGAAAAAAAAAAGTGAAGAAATTAAGGCAGTTAATTGTGGACCTTATATTTTGAGTGAGTCTATATTATTGGCGAGTGACTTGAAACAAAATAATGTTTGTAGTGGTATTGTTAGCAAATAAATCACAATTTACTTCTTTGGTCAATTTGTATATAACCATTACATTATATATGTGTAGTTAATTAGATAAGTGTGATTTAATCTACTAAGTACCCATATTGTAGACGAATGTGATGATAATGCTATCACGTGACCAAGTAGTGATATATTTTCACTTTTTATGTGTCGTTTACATTCAAGGGCCAAACTATTCTTGAAAATTTTAATTTATGTGCTTAAATTGCTCTTGCAGGACATATTAACATGATGATTTAGACAGAACCTCCTTAGTTGTGTTTCATGGAAATTTTGTACAAAGTCATGAAATGGCAAAAATGGGTATTTTACAGAGTCTGACAAAGTTAATTAACATAAAACACAATTAACAGAGTGCTTAATTAATTCTATGGATCACAGGACCAGTGGTGCAATATAGTGAAATGCTTACTCTAACGAACAAATTTTGAAGTACTAAAATTGTTTAACCTATCAAAAGTTATAACAAGAAAGGAAATCCGTATGAAGATAACAAAATCGATCGGGAATTAAGAAGGTACGTATTCGAACTATAACTAGTTGCAGTTCTGAGATCATGATTGTGAATTAACATAATTAATCATGATCTGATAAAAAAAGTTCAGTAATCTTAATCTAAATCTAAAGACACCAAATTGGTCTATTGGCTTGTTGCCTGTTGAAGAAGAGAAAACATGAACATGGCTTCCGAAGGATCACAGTAAAATCGATAACAGCCTTCGCCTTCAAGCCTCTCCGATGCACAAACCCTACAGTTCAATCCCCATTGAAAATGTAGCTTTTTGTTGAGCTCCAAGGCTTGAAAACCAATCAATGCCTAGTGTTCGTGTAGCAATCTTCAATCGTAACTCCGAAGCCTGTTTTGGTCTCAACCCTGTTGACAAACTTGTTGCCCAAGTAAGGCAGAACATGGTTTCTAACCAAATCTATTGGAATCAATAGCCTTGCGTAGTATTCCAGGTTGCTTGCCGCCAACTTCTTCTTGACTTTCCAACGTCCCAGAGGTTCTGATAACACTACTGATTGTGTCTTTTTTTCGTCTTCTTAGCAGGCATTGTCTTAACATGTGGTAAATTTTGCGGATGAGCAGGGTCTGCCTCGACTTGTTTTCGCATGGTTGTGTCGTAATTCCCAGTCGGATCCCAAAGAACGAGAGCAGTGGAAAGTTTAGTATCTTAAGCCTCGACTTGTTACCCAATGACATGTCATGAACTAATAACAATGCAGCATTAAGTAATAGACATTAAGCCGTAATTTATTTTTAATTAGTATCTTAATCCTTAATGTAGTAATTAAAGATACGTTAGGGTAATTGGGACGAAGAAAATATTTGGAATCAATCCAAACGTGCTCACTGTGTCTATTTTTCTAATAGACTTGACTTGATTGCTAACAGCCAACTTTATAAATTGTGAAAGTTGAAATGAAAGGGGACTAAAGTGAAAATTATATCAAACTACGGAGGATCAGGATTAAGCTAAACGCACAGTTGAGTAGCCCCGGATATGACTGTAGATTTAGCTTTAGAAGATACAGTATTTTTTTTTTCTTTTTGGACAAACAATATTATCTATGTGAGGGAGTTGGCTCAACCTCACTCTGGGCTAGACATAATAATGTGGTTCAAATTCACCTTTGTCGAGAATCAAATTTAAGACCTCTCACTTACAAGTGGAGATGAATACTATCAGACTATAATACTAAGTGACAGCTTTAAAAGATATAGTTAAATTTGCTTGTTTTGGTGCGTGACACTTTTTTTGTTTCCACCAGGTTGGAAGCCCAGACTTTTACTGAGACCGCAATAATAGTGAACAGTATACGAACCGAGTGTGGATGCAAATTTCTTCCTCCTTGATCTTGGACAAAATTGCACCTACAAAACAAATAACACCTTAGGTTAAGGCCAAGAGCCTCACGCGCCCACGATGAATTGGGGGGGGGCTTTGGCCGAAGAACATCCGATGCCAAAGTTAGAATTTAGAGAGAAAAATGTTTGAGAGTTTTGGAGAATTTTAGCAAGAGTGTGAAAGTGTGTTTTGGAGAAAATATGAGCCTTTTTATAGGAGAATGGCCGGCCTCTTTGGGTGAGAGAGGACCGGCCACCTAGCACCTTTTGTGGGCTAGGTTATTGATTTAGGTTGAATTTAGGAGTTATGAGAATAATTGACTAATTAATTTAGCAAATAGAATTATTGCCGAATTAACTAGCTAATTAATATGACAAAATAGGTAAATATGGTGAAATCAACAAGGGTGGCCGGCCCTTTGGTATTTTAGGGTATACTTTGTGGTTAATTGGGTGATTTAATTGACATTTAATGGATTAATTAGCCAATTAACATATTTTTGGATTTAATATTTTGAAGGTTATGTAATGATGGCTAATTGTTTAGCTAAAAGAGGGAAAAAGAGGTAAGAAATATATGGAATGAAATAGGTCTTACCTATTTTGGGCATTTCTGACTTGGTTGAGGATGATTGCTTGCTACTCGTGCGTAGGAATCTTGATACACCCCAAGGGTATTTTTGTCTTCTTTATCCAAAAATCCACGTGTTGCCTTGTGGTTATTTTTGGGCTCCACAAATGCCCCTACACCTGTTGGGCTGCTCGCAGAAAAGGGCAATAGGTGTAGAAATTTTCTTATCTTGGGAAACTTTTGAATTGGTTCCTATTTTGACGATGATTCTCTCTTTTAATATGAAATTAGATCCTTCTAGCAAAGGAAAATAAATTTCTCTCAAAGCCTATTTAAGTCCACCTTAAGTGGGTTATTAAATCAACTTTGGAGAGTGATTTATTCTACCCTACAAGAGAGAGAGAGCTTAGAGGATATTTGTTCCCCCTCCTCTAGCAATCTTCTACATCTTGCCCGTGCAAAGGACCGTCTTTCGTTGTTTTCTTTGTCTTCTCCGTGTCGCACCAGTGTAATAAAAACTTAATTTCTTCTTGTCTTCTTCTTGGATAGTGTTGTCGTGGGGCAGTCGTCGGGGTGTGCGACACGTCGGCTAGCAGGGGCCAGGAATCGGTTCGGCATGGGCCGATAAGGTGTTGTGGCAAGGACCACTGCTTTAGGCTGCTCGGCTTGGCTAAAGCAAAGGGCAGCTTGTGCGGCTGTGGTCGTGGATTGTGGCGCTGAGGCGCAGTGCTAGGCGAGTCGCGTGGCTTATGTCCTTTGGGCTCTTAGACCTGACACGGGCCAGGCTGGCGATTGAGAGAGATGAGGAGGTTATGAGCCTCATGGGTTGCTGAAATGTTGGGCATGCAGACCTCTTGCCTGCTAGTCTGATAGAAAAAATGAGGAAAAAACCAATATGGGTTGAGTTCATCTGCTGAGTACCGTGAATATCGTTGGCTGCTTAGTTCTCTTCGCCGGGAGAAATGTGGGTTGCTTTCTCGAGAAAAGGTAAAGAGGACCAAGGCGGATACTTTGGCTCGTCTGATTGCTATCATGGAACCTACTGTGAACGAAGGTGGAAAGAAAAGATATTCCTCGTCTGCTCAAGAGATGCTAGTTAAGAAAGAACTGAAGACTTAATCCGCTGCTCGTGAGGGTCCTTCTATTGTCGAGAGGCCTGTGATTGACATGACTTCTTCCAATGGGAAGAAAAATGAGGCTGCTAGATCTGAGCCTATGGCGCTTGCTATGTCGAGAATGGCTAATTCGATTGTTAATAGTATTGCTCAATGTGGAGGTCTTGTCATGCCCCTATTGTCGAAGTCTGTGCCAAGATGTCGGTTGGGAGCTAAGTCCGGTTCTCATTTGGAAAGGCTTGCTATTATGAAGAGCGAGAAGATGGACTCTGCTGCTAAAGTGGCCCTAAGGCCCACTTCCTCTACTGTTGAGACTGATTCACCTGTTGGGAATGAGGAGAATGCTCGTGTGGGCAGCTGTGAGAAATCCACTAAGCTTGCTTTTAGGGAGACTGCTGAGATCTGTATGCTCTTGAAACCAGATCTGCTTGAAGACATGGACGCTTTTGCCAAGTTTGTTGATGGTGTTAGAAAGGTTTGTTTGCCCAAGTTCCACTGTGAAGCATATAACCTAATATAGAAGGACTGCTCTGCTTGCTATGATGCATATATAGCAAGGCTGCCAAGGAGACGGTGAAGATTATGACAGCTGAAGCTTATTCCTTATTCGAGGAGATCAAGAGGTTGGACTCTGAGCTCGTTGCTTTGAATGGGTCTAATATTTCTGCCCTCACTTCTCTGCAGCTTGAGACCGCTTGCTAAGTGATTGTTGTCTTGAAGACTAGTCTTGATGCGATCCAAGTTAAGTATGAAAGTGCAGGAAAGGAGATTGGATGTTACATACCTTATATTCAAGATCTTGAGTTTGCAGTTTCTGAGCTTCATTTTGCTACTTATGCAAAGGATGAATAGTTGATTGCTGCTTATAATCAAGTGATCCACTTCAAGATAATCGTCGATAGGCTTGAACCCCAAGTGTTGGAACTTCGAGGTGTACTGAAGATCAACGAAAGTTTGAAGAAGGAAGTGGATAAGCTGCAGCGCGTCCGTGTTGGTCTTCTCGAGGGGAATGAGCAGTTGAAGGGTGAGAATGGTGGGTTCGAGGTTTCAAGACCTTCTCTATTTCTCTGGAAGACTTGCTTGTTTTTACTTTTAAGGCTTCTATTGGTGAAGTAGTGAAGAAGTTGGTGCCTAGGCTAGGGCAGCCGGGGGTGAAGCGCTGGATGATGCCGCTGCTGAGAGCGTCACTGCTGCTAAATGTGTGGTGATCGAGTAGTTGTGGGATGTCCAAGCTGCTGGAGTGTAGTCTTCTAGGTAGCCTTTAAGATTTTCTTTGTTTTTCCTTATAGTTCTTGTTTTTCTTGAACTCCTTTGGCATTTTCAAGTTATTTATAAACATTCTTCATTTGCTTTCTTCATCTTCGCTTCTTTTGTTCATGCCCTAACCTTTAGACTTTATAGACCAATGGCAGGCATGCTACTTTTCTATAAGCAGACAGGCCCGTGTAGTCTATGCAGCCGTAGGTGTTGGTATA